TAATAAGACACGAGATCATATCGCTTGAGTAAGCCTGACTTTTTGTTGATAGATATAATGATATTCAACAATAACCACATAATTTCCTGATGAAGTCATACGAAAGGAGGTTTACATCAGTAATGCAGACTAATGTTTAAATACTGATACGGCAAGGGCGTATTTCAAGACCGCGAGATTCACTAAAAGGGGGCTTATTATAGGGAGCAGTCATACTGCAAAATCGCTGGTTTTTACCTTTGAAAGCTAGCACCAATAAAAATCGATTATCTGCAACCGTTACTTTCGGATATTCTTATTGAATGCGATATTTTACACTAAAATCCCCACATTGATCCCCACATTGAATCCCACATTGAGAAATCGGCGATTTTCCGCAACCGAGCGATGTCTTCACAACCTTAATCGTGACACAAATGATAGCCTATCAGGGGCCCCAGGTCGTTTCGGAGTTACTATACCAGCTACATTTAGTCAAGGACTTCAATTCAAGTAATTTTAAAAAAATTAGAATTATTGTCCTTAACTGTAATGCAGCTAACATCACTTATGTAACGGAGTATGCAACGTGTATTTGGAAAGTTCCATGCAGTTTCTTAGTATTCAGTACGTTTTCTGAAATACCTCATGTATATAACAGAGCTCGTACTTGATGTGTGTGTCAGGATAAAACTGAATATTCACATGAGAGTTTTTGCAATACTTTAATGTAAGATTACTCTCTTTAGCATACGTCTGAACTACATTTGCAGGCAAGCTTCTATTAATTTTTTACGCAGTATACAGCTATTTCTACTCTGCAAACAGAGCTATTTTTCTCTTCTCAGTGGGTGATCTGCTCGCAGAGTAAGCTATTTCTAGATTAGTGTACTGATGGACTATTGACACTATTGTGTATTAACAATTTGCATGACTGGTTACATGAACAATTGAAGAATCACTTAAAATCATTTCATACGTGAGTAATGTTTGTGAATATTACAACCTGTGGTGACAGATCGACTCATATGAAACTTATGGGGGACAAATAGTCCGTGATCACTCAAGCTTGACCTGACAGTCCGTATGAAGTGCCAAATTTGACGAAAAAAGGCCAGATTTCAAGGCTTTTTGAAGAAATGCGGCGACATTAAAAACAATCCTAAAAACCTAGCACCGGATTTAAGAAATAAAATCTATATGCGACCTTTCTGGGTATTTTTCATGAGAAAATTCGAAAATCCAATCACGTATTTTTGCCCTTGAAGAGTTGAAGTTGAGCATTAAAATAGTATGGCGATCCATGTTTTCACCACAGTTCGCTCCAAAAAACTGGGCCTCGCGCATAACTTATTTTGTTAATAAAAAACCTAGCACCGGATTTAAGAAATAAAATGTATGTGTGACATTGCTGTGTATTTTTCGTGAGAAAATTTAAAAATCAAATTA